CGTTATCCAACCTCTACCCTTGGGGTTTTAAGCTCTACTAGTGCTACTGGTCATCACTTTTCTTAATCTATGAATCTAATTTTCCTTAACTATAAAATTGGGATACTACTACTTATTCTTTTCTGACAAACACCCAATAACATACTTAATAGAGACTCAATAATAGAAAGTAGCTGTTATGATAGTTTTATTCATTGTGTGGGCCAAGCCTTTCTTCTGAATGAACCCCAACTTAAGCCACTTGACATGTTACATTTTCCAGTATTGCTCCACTTGAAATGTAAATTATTGTGGTTACCCATCAGTACCATTTTCTAGGTTTTGTGCATTTTCCTGTACAAAATTTCCTCCCTACTTGGTGAATTCCTCCTTTTTGTCCTCAAAGTCCTGTTTGGGCATCATGATCTGTCCCTCAGGTTAATTGTTGCCTCCTGTGTGATTACCATGCAGTGAGTGCCACTGCTCACATCAAACTGCATTCTTGTCTAAATCACTCCTAGCAGAATAAATTTCTTGAGGATGACAACTGTGTTGTTCTTTGTATTCTACTGCCTTGGAATATCTGAATTAAACCCATGCTTTTTCTTCTAGTGAGAGAGGAGACTTTTAGTTTAAAATTTACCTCCTGGGTCCAGTAAATGGCTAGTCTGAAAACACAAGTCTTCTCTCAAGTCTTAGTGTGCCTCTTTGCCCTCTCCCTCCACAGGCCTTTAGCTAGAAAGGCCATATCTGAACATGCAACACAAACTCAGATGCTCTTATAAGTTAATGCAATAGACACACTATAGATGACTGCCAAATGAAGCCCAGAGGCCAGGCAAAACAGAAGCCACTCAGCTGCATCCTGTTCTCATTCTGAAATGAGGGTCCATGATGACCAGAGTCTGTGATATTCATGAAAATCCAGAAATGCAGAACAGAATGTGAAGTCATTCCCAATCTCAATGTTGAGAATTAACTTCATTGCGGGTAGAGTGTATACACAGTCTTAGCTAAGCAAATCTCTTTAGGAGTTTTCTACCTTTGTAAGTTATTTCTTTTATTGCCCCACCTTGTGGACAAACTGGAAATTTCCTCAAACTAGAGGCCAAATCTGTCCAAAATACACCAGCTAAAAAGTTGTTAGAGTCCCAACATAGACAAAAGTTCTTCTAAATAACCCAACACTTTGTCCAACCAAACTACCAAACCACATACAACACAAGGATATGGCTCAGGAATGGAGATGGACCGTGGAATTTAGTTTGATTCAAACAGTCACTAAATGCTTACTGCATGCTTTGCACCCAGGATACCAAGATGATTGAGACAGGGTTGTAAAGTCATCTTGCAACTGGAAACAGATCCTTCCTCCAACTGACATCTGTGCCCACCCCATTCTTCTGTCATATCCCATTTACTTTTACTTACCTTATTAGTTCCAGAAATGCACCACACATAAGCGCTCTCCCATCTGGTCTTACAGTCTTTACAGTGAAAATAGCCATATTTGGGTTCCAAAAACTGAAAATAAGGGGGTGGGAGTCTTTTACTATATTTTGGAGGGAAAAAATAATTTTATTTATTTGTTTTTTTTTGCTAATTGCTTTGTGTAAAAATTTAAAATTACCTCCTTAATGTCACTTATATCTATGTCAATGCTACTACATTCATTTAAGGGCTCATCTCTTTTAAGGATTACCCTAGGATTCTTCTTGCTGTTGTTGCTCATACTTTTCCTATTCCATTTTCCACCGTGCCACCAGCACAATCTCCCAAAATGAAACCTGACTTCATATTGCACAGAGTTGAAGCTCTTGACTCCTTCCCAAAAGCAATAGTGGCCAGATTTTTGGTTTTAAGTTAGGCTTGCCACCGTGTTTTAACAAAAACTTGCAAAACTCACAGACCACGTAAAACATGTTTTCAGAACTCCCCCACCAAATAAAAGGATGAAGCAAGAGAAGACTTTGCTCTTATTGCCCCAGAAATGTAAGAGAGGAGAGGGAGGCAAGGGACTAAAGAAGAGAGAGGAGAAAGTATACCTGGAAGTTGGTCTTCCGGAGAGGCTCTGCAGCGGCAACTCCTGGCGCCTGCCTGTTCTTTCTTTCCCCAGGATACACTGCATCTTCCTGCCCCAATTCCTCTGGTCCTTGGAGTTCCTCCTGCCCATCATCTTCTGACCTTGGCGTTGATGGTAGCTGCTGGCTGTTCTCTGCAGGGCCTGAAAGCGCCTTGTTTTCCCCATCTTCTTCATCCTTCCGCAGTAGGCTCAATCCCCTGCGGCTGACCACTGGCGAATGTACTCCCCAGGTTGTCACTGGTTGCCTGTCCCAGGGGGAGCGGCTGCGCAGGGTTCGAGGCCCCAGGGAGCACTGCACGGACTTGTCCACCCGCAGGCTCACCTGCACGCCCACTTCCTTGGTGTTGGCTTTGCACAGCCGTAGGCTTAAATTGGGGTTCATCTGGGCAAGAATGGCCTTAAGTTGAGCCCTCTTGTAAGGGTCCACGCAATAGTCTGGGGCATTCGCTGGCACCAGCAGCCCTGGCCTGGCCAGGAAAGTAGGAGGACCCATGCTTTGCCTCCAGTCGAACTGTTTGTGCCCCGAGAGTGCCAGATGGCCCAAAGGCAGTGGGTTTCCATAGCCCTGGTATAAGCCATAGGGAAGGCGGACAAAGCGCTCCATCCACTCACCAGGTGCTCAGACTCAATATCCTCCTGTGTTTAGTGTCCTTTCGCCTTCCACCTTTACTGGCCCCTTCTTTTTCCTGGTCAAGCTGGATCAGGTTCATCCTTGGCTTCTCCATTTATTTCAGAATCTAACAGGAGCTGCTACCTATTACCCAAATTAAAGGAGGGCTGATGAACCTACCTGCAGAGATCTATAGCCACTTGATTCCTAATTGCTTTTCCCTAACCTCTTCAATTCACCATTCCTCAATCATTTTCAAAGCTGTTTTTCATTTTTGACTATTCACACACATGCTTTAATTAGCAATTTCGTTCATTTATTCCTCTAGTGGCCATTTTATAGATCCCTTGTGCACTGTTGATGGAGACGTAAATTAGTACAGCCGTTATGTAAAACAGTATGGCACTTCTTTAAAAATTAAAAATAGAATTATCATCTGATCCAGCAATCCCACTACTTTGGTGTATACCCAAAGGAAATGAAGTCAGGAATCTTAAAAAGATACCTGCACTCCAAGTTCACTGCAGAATTATTCTCAACAATCAAGCTATGCAAACAACCTGTCTGTTGACAGGTGAATGAATAAAGAAATTGTGATATGATAGGGAATATCACTTAGCTTTATAAAAAGAAAATCCTGCCATTTCCAAGCACATGGACAAATCTTGAGGCATTATGCTAAATGAATGAAATAAGACAGGTAGAAAGTTAAAGAAAGTTAAATCTGCTAAGAGTAGATTTCTAGTGCTCTTTCTACATGTACAAAAAAGGTAACTGAGAGATGAATGTAAATTGCTTGACTTGCAGTAATCATATGTCTATGTGTACTAAAATATGTGGTACATATTACAATTTTTATGAAAAAAATTTCAAAAAATAAAGCATTAATAAATTAAATACAAATAGTTATCTGAGCAGCTGCACTAGAAGTATACAAGAAAGGAAGTATATTATGGTAGATCTAATGAACGTCAAATCCCTATTACTTCAGAACAAGGAACATAGTTACAGTGGTATGTTTATGAGAGAAAATATATTTCAGAGAGTGGTGTGATATACCAAGGGTTCTCATTAGTCCATTCCCAGTGAGACACCCATTTCCCTGCTCCCAGAAAAGGGTAAAAAAGCAAATTGTTTTCATCTGTGGAGTAAATGCAGTTTTTTTTTGTTTTTGTTTTTTTTTTTTTGGTGTTTTTTTTCACTGCTATGTACTTAAGTGTATGAGATGAAATGGACTTGAATTCAAACCTGGGCCTTGTTACCAGGCAAGTTACTTAATTATTTCAGTTTCCCAGTCCTGTCTGCATTAGCAAGGGATTCTGCTATAACTAAGGATTATTAGACTAAAAGTGATACCTAAATAATCAAATACAACTAAATTATTTTTTCCAGTATTGGAGATTGAACCCAGGGGTACTTTACCACTGAGCTGCAGCCCCAGCTTATTTATTCAAGACAGAGTCTTGCTAAATTGCTGAGGGTGGCCTAGAATCTTCCTGCTTTCAACCTCCCAAATCGCTGGAATTACAGGCACGAACCACTGCATCTGGCTAAAATTTGCTCTTTTCCTTTTCCAAGGTGCCTACTGCTGTTCAAGCACCTTCTAAAAGCGGCCAGGCGCATGAGCATCTTCCTTAAGTGTTTTTAGGTCACACAACAAACCCGATTTAAGCTTTGTACTGAACATGTCACAGACCCTGCGAATTCAGTCTGGTCAGGTTCCTGTATTCTAGGACACTTTGGGGTAAAGACAAGCACAAAAGAGGATGATCAGTATCCTAAAAAAGTAAAAAATACTACCACAGCCCGCAGAAATAAATAACCTAATATTGCTGGAATGCTTTAAGACGGGTTCACAATTTTTGAAGTGGAAACACTGCTCAGAGATCCTGAACAGCACGCCTACTGAGATTAATGTCAATTCAGGTGTCTGTCTTTTCCACTACCACGCTGTTCTGGAGTCGCCACAACCTCGTTTTTTTCTAAGGTCGGAGTACTTTGCGGGGCAGGCCAGAATGGAACACCGCTGTTAGGGCGAACAAGTGCCTTTCCAAGGTCCCAACCAGACCCTATCCAAACGTGACCACCAAAACATGAGAGAAGGGAGAGGGGACGTGAGCAGCAGCGGGTGGCCCACGCTGGGAGGTCTGGTATTCTGATGAAGAAAACACGCACTCCAAGCGACTGTTCTGAAACCCAATTAGGAACTCCCTTTGGCTGCCGAGAGAAGCGGCGGGGGCAGTCCGCCGCGGCCTGACTTCCGGGTGTTGCGTACGCTACGTGGAGCGTCATGGCGTCATCGCGTCACGTGCCTAGAGTGAACTTTTGGCGCGAGCGTCTGAAACTCAGCGGAGGCGGAGCTGCTGGTTTTGCGCGCCTCGGGTCTCCGCTGGAGAGGTAGTTCGCCACCGGGAGGAGCCTGAGGGGTCGGATTTGTGGTCTAGGTGCGCGCGCAGTTCTTTGCAGTCTACTCCAGCCAAAAAAACATCTGCATCACTGGAGCGGGTTAGTGGTGTCGGCTGGGGACGGGGTTGTGTTCGGCGGGTGGCGGGGGAGCGCCTCCCATGTCCTGGGTAGGAGCCGCGACTTCTACCCTCGCCGTCTTTGCCGACCCCACCCCTTCTCGAGAGAAACGACGCGGTCTCCCAGGCCAATACCTGCAAAGCACATTCGAGCCCCGCACCTTCCCTGGGACTTTGATTCCCCACGCCGGTCCGCGCCTTTGGGCCTTACAAGCCAGACTTGCCTGCGAGGTGTGCTAGATGTCCCGGTGTGAAATTTCTCAGGGGCACACTGTATCTGCCTTACGTAACCCCCAGTAATTGCTATTTTCCGGAGATTTACAGATTGGGAATTACCAAATGGTATTTGTAACTGCAACCACTAGCGACGCGTGTCTAATTAACGTAATTAAATTAGATAATGTGAAAAAGCCTGTTATTGAGCCATACTATCCACTTTTCAAGTGCTTAGTGTTAGTGGTACATGGATTGGAGAGTACAGTTATGGAATTTTCCAATCCTCACGATAAGTTTTTATTGGACTAAGGTGGAGGTAACTTTAGACAAGCTTACTGGCGTTTCTGATTTTATTTCAGTCACTTAGGAAGGAATGCATCCCTTCTAAGTGTATTTGGTCTTTTGTTTTGCAGACTTATTTACCAAGCATTGGAGAAATATTTTAGAGAAAAATGCCTATTGGATCCAAAGAGAGGCCAACTTTTTTTGAAATTTTTAAGACGCGATGCAGCGGAGCAGGTATTGTTAGGTTTTGTAAAATTTCATAAACTACACTCCAGAGTTTTTCAGAAAAATAAAGATGAATGCTTGCTAAAAAGAATCTAGTTATTCTCTGTTTTACTTTAGACTTAAGTTTTGGAGTCATACCTATTAATGACCTAGTTGTTCACTGGTTAGCCCTTAGTTGAAAATGGGGAGACTGGTCTCTTGGCAGCAATAGGAAGAATTCTTTTAAAATACTACTAACAATTCAGAAGTGCAGATAATGCCACTTGAAGGCAGAGATTGTAAATTTTTTTGTTTTAGTACTCCTCAGGCAATTTGGAATGATCAAGGACCCTCAAAGACCTTATAATATTAGAAGTTAGTAAGAGTTAGAGAATTTATTAATTCACTTAAAAGCAAAAATATGCCCATTGTAGATTATCATAAAATTTTTTATAAAAATGTATTTTATAAAACAAGATTTAAAAAGAAGAGTGGGTTGTTTTACATTTTGCAGTTCATTTTGATGTTTGGCTTAATAGAAGATAGCTGGATTCTTGTATCTATGTCTGCATTTAATCTGTTACAGTCTATAGTTTTGGTAGAAGTGTATGAATAAAATTCAACCCCAAAACAGCTAGGTAGTTGGGAAAAGGGGAATTTTAATAGTCTTTAATTACTTGTATGTATTTCTTTATTTGTCTTGTTTTTTGAATAGATCTTCCAGAGAGTTAAAAGATACTTCTGTAAAATCATTGCCATTGTTACTTGGAAGATCTTGGTAGTTTAGATTAGATTTTGACATACTACATTAAGCAATGAAAAAAATCACACTCATTAATATCACCATTGATCTTAACAGAAAGTCTTTTTAAGAATGGGAAGAAATCAACCACTGAGCCATTAGAAATTCTGATTTTCATTTGAAATCTTATATTTTATAACTGGCAGTAAACTCTTATTTTCCTTGAAGTGAAACCTCACTTCGTTTGTGAGAAAATGTCTACCAACTTATTCAAGTTGGAATCACTTTTTTGCTAGTCGTTCTTTCAAGTAAAAATGACTTTTCATGGAAAGAGTTATCATCAGCTTATGATTCACCACAAGTGGTTTTGTTTTGTTTTGGTACTGGGGATTGAACTCCAGGGCACTCAAGCACTCAGCCGTATCCCCAGCCCTATTTTGTATTTTATCTAGAGACAGGGTCTCACTGAGTTGCTTAGTACCTCGATGTTGCTAAGGCTGGCTTTGAACTCAAAATCCTTCTGCCTCAGCCTGCTGAGCCACGGGATTTCAGGCCACAAATGCTTTTTTAAACAACCAGTGGACTTCAGTTATGCAAAAGTGCTCAATACATGTTCCTCTGTTTTCAAAGAATATTAAAAAGATGGGCTAAAGGCTTATACTTTAATAAATTTTACTTTTTCATTAGAATAGTCTTTAGTTAAAATGCCTTTTTAAAAAAAATCCTTGGGTGGGGCTTGGATTGTGGCTCAGAGGTAGAGCGCTTGTCTAGCATGTGCAAGGCCCTGGGTTCCATCCTCAGCACCACATAAAAATAAGTAAAATAAAGGCATTGTGTCCAGCTACAACTAAAAAAATGTTTTTAAAAAAATCCTTATGGTACTAAAATAATGACTACTAGTACAGTTTGGTGCCTTATAGGACATTAAGTTAAAATGGCTTTTTCTTTTTTTCTTTAATATTCCTTATGGTAGTAAGAAATACAATGACTGCTAGTATAAGTTTGGTGCCACTGACTCAAATCAGATGTCAACATCATGAAAAAGGCAAATGACGCCTAATATTGTTATGAAGCTAGTTTTAACCAATTGAACCTCTTGCATCATGAGAACTGCTACTGCATAGGATGGATAGATGATAATAGAAGTGTTATTTCCCTGTAAGAGAGAATCTTTTTTCCCATTTTAATTGAGAGTCTTTGTTTTTCTTTTATGCATAGATGTGCCATATATGCTTATGTAGTCATACTTGAATTTTGTCTATGGAATACATTCTTACTATGAATGAATTTTAATTCTGAATTGTGAATAGTAAGGTAGAAAATAAATAAAAATTAAATGGATAAAATAAAAAGTTAACATAGTTAAGTGCTAGCTCTTTATAATTTTTGTGCACTCATTACTCTATGCAGATATACAAGAGAATGACTGATGATCTTAGTAATCTTGTTTAGTTACTATGAAATGCAAAATATAATCTGCAGTTGGAATTTCAAATGTCCTTTTTAAATTATAACTTTACTGATTCATAAGTTTTTCTGAGTCATTGATTAAAACTAAGACAGGATTTTATTTTCCTTAAAGATTTAGGACCAATAAGCCTTAATTGGTTTGAAGAACTTTCTTCAGAAGCTTCACTCTATAATTCTGAACCTGCAGAAGAATCAGAATATAAAACCCACAGTTATGAACCAAACTTATTTAAAACACCACAGAGGAAACTCTCTTATCACCAGTTGGCTTCAACTCCAATAATATTCAAAGATCAAGGTCAAATTCAATCGCCTTTACAAGAATTAGGTAAGTATAGATCAGACTTGGGTAAGTAATATGTAGACTAGTTTAAAAAAAAAATAGGAACTACGAATTCAGGCAAAACTACATTTTAAAAAATCTTAGGTCTGTCATTAACCGTATTATGTTGTATACATTAACCTGTCTGGCCACACTTTCCTTACCTGAAAAATGGAGATAATGAATATAATACCTAATAGGTTTGGATTAAGTGAAATAATTAAGGTACTTAATGTTTCTTTTCCTCCCTCTTTTAATTAATACATCTTGCCAACTGAACTTTGCTGAATTATGCCTTTCACGTACAAAAAAAAAAACCAAAAAACCCTAAGACTAGGTTTGATGTTAATAAAACTAAACTATTTCTGCATACTATAACAGGACAAAGAAAATTATCTTTTATCAATTTGGTGTAAGTATATTTTAATTTGGTAGCAGACTCCCCAGCCTAGATGCCACATGTTTCCAAGCAATTATGTAATATGATGATTCATCCACTCGTTCAAATATTTGTTACCTACGTGACATGAGTAAGTCACTTTCCCTTTCTTTGGAATATTACTTTATAATAGAATAAATAGTGCACAGATAAATTGTAGTATAAGCTTGACTGGTATATACTGAAAGAGAAATATTTAAAAAGTACAAAGAAAATTGAGAAGAAAGAAAAAAATAGAATTGGGGAAAGTTAGACTCTTTGGTTCTTTATACATAATGTTCCTTCTGCCTGCAACTTCCTACTTTTTCTCTAGATAATTTACATGTTCATTTTTCAGATCTTGGCTTATTTATCTCTGCTTTTGAGAAATAGTCCCTGTCTGCCCTCACTGAACCTCTAGTGAAAGAGACATACATCAATGATATGTGTGATATGTGCCTTGAAAGAGAAATTCATGGCCCTAGAAATATATATACAGAGGAATTATAGGTAACAGGCAAAAATTTTCTTATGTCTTTGGCTACAAAGTGATATACATATAGTACATATTTGTAGAATGAATATTAATTTTGCTTTAGAAAGTTGAATAATCTGGCAGCAGTCTTTGAAGATAATGTTTTTTCAAAATGTGATGACTTGACCATCAGAATCTTCTTGAATGCTAACTGAAAGAGTACATTCCAGGCTCTACTCTGAATTTTTTTTTTTTTTTTTGGATACTGGGGATTGGACCCAGGGGCACTTTACCACTGAGTTGTATCCCCAGCCCTTTTTATCTCATATTTTGAGACAAAGTCTTTTTAAGTTGCTGAGGCTGACCTTGAACTTGCAATCCTCCTGCTTTAGCCTCCTGAGTCAATAGGATTACAGACTTGCGCCCACCGTGCTCAGTCTACTCTGAGCCTTTTGAATTAGAATCTCTGGGAATGAATCTCTATCTTTTAAGCTACCTGGGGTGCTCTTATGGAAAGGGAAGATTGGTGGTAGGAAGATCAGTTAGGAAACATATAATGGTTCAGGTGATGGATATTAGTGCTGAATTAGGATAGTAGTCCCCTCATAGTCATGGTTTCACTTTCCTCAGTTTCAGTTGCCCAATTTCAACTGCACTCTGAAAATATTAAATGAAAAATTACAGAAATAAACAATTCATAAGTTTTAAATTGTGCACCATTCTAAGCAATACGATGAAATCTTGCACCTCCCTCTCTAGGACATTAATCATCCCTTTGTTCAGTGTATCTGCACTATGTGTGTTGCCCTCTTAGTCACTTGGTACTGTCTCAGTAACTGATCAACTGATGTGCCCTGATAATGTGTATTTTCAAATAATCTTACATAGTAGCCTATGCTACATCATAGTGCCTATGACATTTCATCATCACATAGGCATTATGTCATCTCATAGCATCACAAGGATGAGTATAGTACAATAAGATTTTGCGGGAGAGGGACCACATTCATATAACTTTCCTCACAGTATATTATAATAATTGTTTTATTATTATGTTCTTAATCTTTTATTGTACCTAACTTATAAATTAAATTAAACTTTATCTTAGATGTATACATGTAGGAAAACACAAAGTTTATATAGAGCTTAATATTATCCAAGGTTTTAAATATCCACTAGCAGTCTTGCAATGTAACCCCCCCAAAATAAGGCAAAGCTACTTTAGTAAAAGTAGATACAGAACATAGAAACTATAGGGCTCTATAGCAGCCTAGATAAGAGAAGTCAAAAAGGAACAAATCATAGGGTAGAGCATGATGTAAGAAACCAAGAATGTAGTGATGATGTTTGTAGAAATGAAAGTTTGAGGAAAAGTAGACTTAGAAAGGAAAAGTTTAAAAGGATGAAATTGAATTTTGAAGTAGAGTTGGAGACAGTAGCGGCATAATAAGGTGGAGACAAACTGCAGGCTTTTGGGAATGGAAGGCTGAAAGTAGGGAAAGACAGAGTCGTGAAAATCAGCTATTTGTTTGGAAAGTAATATAGTCATAGTGAGAAAATTAGTAATTATGATGAGGGCCAGGATAGAGCTCTAGGGAATATTTATTAGATGAAATATAGAAGAGGACAATGAAAAGGGAATTATCCATTCCACAAGGACAGTGGTTACTTGTGCCTGGCAGTTTGCCAGGTACAAACATGATTGAGATGTCCTTTGACTCCTAGACTGTCAATCTATATAAATACAGTATGTGATATGATATAATACAAGCATGTGTGGAGTACTAAATGAGCAGCCATCTGTCTAGTGTGCTCAGGAAAAACTCCATAAAACAGTTTTTGCTGAATCTACAAATCAGTGGTTAATTTTCTAATTGTAACCTGCTAGAATTGGTCTGCCTATAATCTGAGGAGGATTGGAATGAATTAATAAGACCACTGTGAACCAACTGCTGAGGAGTTAACTTTGGGGAGGGGTGGTAACTAGAAATTAAAATCGGGACACTCTAGCATTGAGCTATATCCCAGCCTTTTTTCTTTTTCTTGTTTTTTTTTGTTTTGTTTTGTTTTGTTTTGTTTTGAGATGCGGACCCACTGTTTCTGAGGCTGACTTGAGTTTGCAGTCCTGCCTCAGAGTCCTAACTTTTTGAGATTACAGGTGTATATCACTGAACACAGCTAGGAGTTAACTTTTTCTTTTTTTTTTTAAGTCGTCGATGCACCTTTATTTTGTTTATTTGTATGTGGTGCTGAGAATTGACCCCAGTACCTTGCACATGCTAGGCAAGCGCTTGACCTACCGCTGAGCCACAACCCCAGCCCAGGAGTTAACTTTTTACAGGTTATAATACATAAATAATTCTGCTGACTATAGTCTTTCAAAACCTTTTGCTTTTAAATTTACTTTAAATTTATATTTGAAATCTAAGAGCAGTAGATTTAAGCTATGTTTTTTAACTTTGTTCAGTTAAACCAATCATGAAATACCACCATACATTTTCTGGAAGAGCTAAAATCCAACACCAGGTGCTGGTGCCGATGTGAGTAACAAGAATGTTTACTTGCTGCTGATAGGAATGCAAAATGGTATAAATAGTTTGGAAGACCCTTTGCAGTTTTTTATAAAAATAAATATACTATTACCAGCAACGCACTCTTTGGTATGAACTCAAATGAATTGAGTTCAAATTACATCCATTCAAAAGCCTGCTTATTTAAAAAACTAATTATCCCTAAAGTTCCCTGAGGAAGTGTGCTATTTCTACATCTCAGTAGCCCTTTCTTTTGCATAAAAATATAAGACATATGCATTTATCCTGTCACTCTTCAGCATGAGTTTCTCAAATTATTTAGGAAATGTTTATTTGGGTATGAACTTGTTTTCACCTGGTCCTTTTTTTTTTTTTAAAAACTTAGAGCTGTGTGGTCTTTTCATTTCTAAACCAATATTGATACATTATTATTAATCAAAGCCTTTAGTTTATATTAGGTTTTACCCTTTGTGTTGTATAGTGCTATGGATTTTGACATATATATATATGTATGTGTGTGTCAAAAAAATATATATATATATAATATATAAATAAACATGTATATGGATTTTGCCATGTGTGTATAATATCATCCATCCACCATTACAGTATCATACAGAATAGTTCCACTGCCCTAAAAACCCCTATGCTCCACTTATCCATCCCTTCCTTCTTCCAAATCCCTGGCAACCACTGATATTTTTATTGTCTCTGTAATTTTTGCTCCTGGATGTTGTGTATAGTCACCTTTCTCTATCCACTGGTTCTGCCTGCGCAGATCAACCAACTGTGAATTGAAAATATTGATTTTAAAATTGAACACATGTTGAGGCTGGAGTTGTGGCTCAGCGGTAGAACGCTCACCTAGCACATTCAAAGACCGGGGCTCGATCCTCAGTACCACATAAAAATACAGGTATTGTGTCCAACTGCAACTAAAAAATAAATACTTTTTTTAAAAACATGAGCACATGAAAATTATTTTTCTTGTCCTTATTCTCTAAACAATGCAGTATAACAACTGACTACATAGTGTTTCATGGTGTTAGGAATTATGAGACATCTGTTGCTGGGTGCAGTGTCTCATGCTTGTAATCCCAGTTACTTGGGAGGCAGAGGCAAGAGGGTTGAAAATTTGAAGTCAGATTCAGCAATTTAGCCAGACTCAACCCCTAGTACTACCAAAGAGGAAAAAAAAAAAGTCATCTATAGATGATTTAAAGTATACAGGAGGATATGCCTAGATTATATGCAAATTTTATGCTATCTTATACAAGGGACTGGAGCATCCTTAGATATTATTATCTATTGAAGATACTAGAACTAATCCCCTGCAGATACTGAGAGACTACTGTAGTTGGAATTGTAGAATATACCCTTTTTATATGGGCTTCTATATCTGCAATATTCATTTAAGGTTTTCTATTTCTTTTTTCTTTTTAATTTATTTTGAGACCGGGTCTCACTAAGTTGCTGAAGGCCTCGCACTAAGTTGCTACGGATGGCTTTGAACTTGTGATCCTCTGGAATGCCTGAGTCTTGCAAGTTGCTGGAATTACAGGCATGCTCCATTTTTTTTTTTTTAATTTTTTTTTTTAGTTGTAGATGGACACATACCTTTATTTTATTTATATATGGTGCTGAGGATTGAACTCAGTGCCTTACACATGATAGGCCAGCTCTCTACCCCCTCCATTTCTTTTTAATATTGAATAATATTCCAGTGTTTGAATGTACAATTTGTTTATTCATTCACCTATTGAAGGATATCTTGGTTCCAAACTTTTGCAATTATGAAAAAAATTGCTACAAACATTCATGAGCAGATTTTCGTGCGGATAAAAGTGTTCAACTCATTTGGGTTCATACCAAAAAGTGTGGTTGCTGGTAACAGTATGTTTATTTTTGTAAGAAACTGCAAACTGTCATCCAAAGTATTTATACTATTTTTCATTCTCCTCAGTACTTCATCTTGTCAATGTTTTGAATTTTAGCCATGCTAGGAGGTATATAGTCGGATTTTGTGTTTGGCTTAATTTTTAAAATCAATTTCAAAACTTGATTTGGCTACTTTCTAATATCTTTAATTAAAAGTGCTCATTAAAGGAGGAGGTTGTATATTTTATCAAAGTGGAATTTTTAAGTTACATGTACTTTTGGTTTACTAGTGATTATATCTATTCCATGTTACTTGAAAAATGAGAATAAGACATTTTACTGCTACAAATAGTTATAAATTTGTTATTCATTTTATTTTAATAATATATAGCTTATTTTCCCAGAGGTTCTTTTTTTTGGTAGTTGTAGGTAGACAGCATGCTTTTATCAGTTTCATTTTTATGTGGTGCTAAGGATTAAACCCAGTGCCTCACACATACTAGGTGAGTGCTGTGCCACTGAGCCACAGCTACAGCCCCTTTCCAAAGATAGATAATATAAGATCAATATAAGATCTTACAAAGTTAGATAATATAAGATCAGTTAAAAGAAGTATTTTTGAAAGCATTTTTTTCCCCTGAGAATTATAGTAAATGCCTTGGGTGCCAAATTTGTAGTCATTAATAACCAGTACAGTAGAACCACAGGTGTACTTCATGCTCTGGATAGTCAAAAATAACGTAGTCTAATACATTATAAGAAAATAATACATTATTGAAAAGTGTGAATTGATTTGATATTGATAGAACTACCTACAGCTTTAAAAACCCTGTGGGAATATTACTTGTCTTAGAAAGTAGATATGTTCATCAAGAATAAAATATTATATTTTGCTACCTACAGCTCACTTTCTCTATAAAGCTTGTAGTTCATTTATTTAGCCAATATTTGTTTGGTGCCCATGACATATAAAGCATTACATTATTGTAGTTGCTAGCAATGTGTGATAATGTCTACTACAAGGAGCTCATGGGCATAATGAAGGAAATAATAATAGTGTATACTAACTTGTGTATACCCTTTGGTGAACATATAAGAGAGCAGGCACTTAATCTTACCTTAGAGACCACAGAAGTTTTTTAGGAGATAGTTTTTAAATTGAAGCCTTAAAGAATATTCCAGGTTAAAAGTAAAAGAGAAACATTTAAGAATTGCAAATGGTTAGATACAACTAAAAAGTTAGAGTGTGAAAAGAATGGCATTATAAAAAATAAGTAAATTAGGCTGGAGTATGGCTGAGTGGTGGAGTACCTGGATTCAATCCCCAGCACAAAAAATACAAAACAAAGTCAAATCATGAAAGGCCTTGTTACAATGGAGTTTTGTTACAGGATTTCAGATATCTTCAGCAAAAGTATGATGTGGTCAGATTTGATACCTTGGTAGGTTTTCAATTAAGGTCCTTTCCCTTAACTTTGTCCTCCATGATACAATGGTAGTGTGGAAACTAAATAGTAGAACATATCACTTTCCACTTTGTGTTCCACTTGTGTACATTTAAAAAAATTCCTCTCAGTTATGAACTCTGTAAGGTTAAAGCTGTGTCCTGAAATGGATCACCCAAAGGATCTTATGCATATTATGTGTTTAATATAATTGAATGGTTATTGAATGGGGAAGACATCCCTTGAGACATACCTTCTTGGGGGGAATCAGCTCCCTATACATTGTACTTCTCAGTATGGATGAGACTTTTTGGTTTTGGTATTTCCAGGATATGAAAATTCAAAATCCAGAGTGTATACAACCTCACCAAATTATTGTACTGTTTTAGGAAAGAATATTACTAATAGCGAACGTAAAAGTCGTCACACAATGAAAGCTAAAGTGGGCCAAGAAAATGATGTTACCAGTCCTCCTCTAAATTCTTGTCTTAGTGAAAGGTATGATGAAGTTGTTATATTTAAATATTTGCAGGAAGCATTTTCCTACATGTATTAGATTCATGGAAACAAATCTAATTTTCATCCTATATTTTGGCTGAGAAATTTCTGTAAATTGTCTCTTAGTTTGTTTCCTTTAATTAAATAATTTTTACATTAGAAACATTTGTTTTCCTTGTAATAGATTGGCTAGTTTTGTGTATATTTTGGTGACTTTTTAACAACATTATTAATGATAAAAAACTGTAAGTCCTTGAAACACCAATTTAAATTATTTGTATGCTTTGAATCTTTGGCAGGGAGTATGATTTACTTTATATAATTTTTAAGTTCAAAATACACAATTCCTAGGAGCTTGTAAATGGGCATTTATAATCTAACTTAATGGTTATTTAATTCTTCGTAAGAGAATTTACTTCCTAAAAAGTGGTATAAAATATTTAAAAATACTATAATTCTAGCAATTGATATGACTGAGAGTCTTTTTTTAAAAAAATATTATTAGCTAGTGTTTTGTCTCTTTGCCAATGTTTTAAATTACCTGAGGGAATTTGTTTTATTTTTAGTCCCCTTGCTCTACAATGTACACGTGTAACACCACAGAGAGAGAAGCCAGGTATGATTAAAAACAAGACTTTTTATGTTTAAATAACAGAAATGTTAATAAAAATAAAATATGATAAATTTCTCTTTTTTTCTTTTTTACTTCAGTGGTATGTGGAAGTTTATTTCATACGCCAAAGCTTGTGAAGGTAATTAGTCTGTTTGGTTTACTTACAGTGTATTGTTTGAGAATTTGACAGTGACATCAGACCTCTGCCCTGAAATTTACAGATCTTTACCTTGCTTATTGCCTCACATAGGCATTCAGTAAATGATAATTTTTAAAAAATGGATGAAAAAATTTCTTAATCATCTGCATGTTTCTGTGAAATAAACTATTGTATTTCTTTCTAGGGTCAGACACCAAAACATATTTCTGAAAGTCTAGGAGCTGAGGTGGATCCTGATATGTCTTGGTCAAGTTCTTTAGCTACACCACCAACCCTTAGTTCTACTGTGCTCATAGGTAATACTAGCAAATGTATTATATAAAAGAAAAGGTAGATGAGACTGAAAAATTGTCATCTCTAATGCTTCTGTTAAGAAGAAAGCATAAAAAGAAAATATTAGATGATACTTTCTTTGATAATTATTCGATAAAATTATTTAGTTGTAAAGTGGAATAAATTACAAGTGCTATTCTGTGAGAGTTGAGCATTATTTTTTATCCCTGTATTATAGTGTTTCATAAAACTCATTTACCTATACATATTAGCATTTTAGAGCTATTATTTTATGTAATTGTGAATTTTTAACAAATAATTTGGATACTCTGGATATTAAAACAGCACTAAATAAGCTTTGCTCCCTCTAACTTAAAACTGTTCTTCAGATCTATATTGATAGTTGTACTAAACTGAATTCTTAAATTTTCCAATTGTAATCATACTGCTATGTGATTACCTAAAATGTTTTTATCCATCCATTGGACTCTAGTAAGCTCTGTATGTGTTCACCATAGTTTCTTGGCAAGTAGTTGGTATTCAACAAATCTTGAAGGAAATGAGTATATTTTGAATATGACATTAGTACTTTTCAGAAATTTAACAGTGTTGACTAAATGGGTCAGTGAATGAATTAATAATGTCTTTAATTTACCAGGATCTGGAAGTATTTCCTATTACAAAGCAGGTTAATATCTCTAAATGCCAAGATTTGGCAAGTAGCAACTTAATAAGAGAGGATATGAACATTCTTTTAATTTTATAAGATTAAGTAAAAAAAAAATAAGATTAAGTAAATATAAGTTTAAAGAAATGTGCATAAATGTGATTAAATACAGTGTTCACAAGTATTTGGAAGTTCATCTAAATAGTCACATCTCACTTTATAGGCAAGGCATGAAAGTAATAATGGAGAAAAACAAATATTTATCAACGAATTTTTTTAAAGAAGTCATTGGGCTGAATCATTGTCCCTCATATTGCAGAGCATGACCCATTAGTTGTTGTGAAATTAATTTTCTGAGTCACATACTTTTTCCCCTTTTTTTAAAGTGCAACAAAAATAATAGAAAACTCAGAGTGTGCCAGGTATGGTAGCACATGCCTATAGTCCCTCAGGAGAATTGGGAGGCTGAGGAAGGAGGATTGCAAATTCAAAGCTAGCCTAGGCAATTAAGCATGATCCTGTCTCAAAATATAAAAACAAAAAGGTTTGGGATGTAGCTCAGTGATAGAGTGCCCTTGGGTTCAGTTCCTAGTACCAAAAAGAAAAGAAAAGAAAAATAAGAGTACATCACATATAGTTAAAGTTGCCAGTTTAGCAAGTGAAAAATACAGTGTCTCCAATTAAGTTTTAGGTAAACAGTTAATAATTTTTGTTATGTTACTTCAAGGGACATACTACTAATAAAAAATTATTCATTGTTTATTCTAAAGTCCAAATTTAATGAGATATCTTATATTTTATCTGGCTCCCTTAAAAATAGTAAAGCTTGTTTTATAAAACTTACATGTTTGTATGTGTATGCACAGTATTGATTTGTATGTATGTATACATACACGCTAAATGTTTATAAATATGTATGCATATATATATGTGTGTACTATGGATTGTATTCAAGTCATGAGTTTGTTACAAAACCAGAATTTTTTTTTTTTTTTTGGTTCTAGCGAAACAAATGTTCCATATAGATTCTTTGTTAGCTGGAAGTGATTTGACTTTCTTTCTTTGTGTACATGAAATAATTAAGGTAAAAAGCATTTGAAAACTGAGTATTTAACATGCAGTATGCCTTTAGGCTGCATTATTGTTTAAATAATGCTAAAGTTTGTAAGCTTTAGTTTTTATGTCATGATCTTGCAGCTTCATCTGATTTTCTAAGTCACTGTGGTATAGTTGTAAGTTAATTTCTAATTATTATTCTTGGGTCAATTTGTTTTATATGTGTCATTTAGTCAAATAGTATAAGGTCTTTTTTTGATTTCTAACAAAACATAAATTTTTGCATGAAGTTTAGGGTATAATATAAATATAGTATAGGTAAATTGAATTTTTATTTTACAGTCAAAGATGAGGAAGCACCTGAAACTGTATTTCCTAATGATACTACTACTGTAAGCAAATGTCTTTTATTTATTATTTTTTATTTGTTCTAAGTAGTGATACATGACAGTAGAATGCGTTTTGATACATTGTACACAAATGGAGCACAACTTCTCATTCCTCTGGCTGAACATGATGCAGTCATACTAGTAGTGTAATCATACATGTGTATAGAGTAATAAAGTCAGTTTCATTCCGCCATACCCATACCCCCTCCCCTCTCCTCACTCCCCTTTGTACAATCCAGAGTTCCTTCATTCTCCACCCCCACCCCACCACCCCCAACCCATTATGGATTATATGCTTATCAAAGAAAACATTCAGCCTTTGTTTTGGGGGGTTTGGCTTATTTCAGTTAACATGATATTCTCTAGTTCCATCTGTTTACCTATAAATGACATAATTTCATTCTTTAAGGCTGAGTAATATTCCATTGTGTAAATGTACCACATTTTCTTTATCCATTCACCTGTTGAATGGCATCTAGTTTGGTTCCATAGCTAAGCTATTGTGCTATAAATATTGATGTGGCTGCATCACTACAGTATGCTGATTTTAAGTCCTTTGGGTATAAACGGAGGAGTGGGATAATTGGGTCAAATGGTGGTTCCATTCCAAGTTTTCTGATGAATCTCCACACTGCTTTCCATAGTGGTTGCACCAATTAGCAGTCCCATCAGCAGTATATGAGTGTGCCTTTTCCCCCACATCCTTGCCAACACTTACTGTTGCTTGTATTTTTGATAATTGCCATTCTGACTGGAGTGAGATGAAATCTGGGGGTAGTTTTGATTTATATTTCTCTAATCACTATATTTCTTCTTCTGTGAAGTGTTTGTTCAGTTCCTTAGCCCATTTATTGATTGGGTTATTTGTGTTCTTCATGTTAAGTTTCTTGAGTTCTTTATTTATTCTGGAGACTAGGGCTCTATCTGAGTTGCATGTGGTAAGGAATTTCTCCCATTCTGTAGGCTCTCTCTTCACCTTATTGATTATTTCCTTCACTAAGAAGAAGCTTTTTAGTTTGAGTCCATCCCATTTATTGATTTTTTTATTTTACTTTCTGTGCTTTAGGAGTCTGGTTAAGGAAGTCAGTTCCTAAGCCGAGAGTGGAGATTTGGTCCTACTTTTTCTTCAATTAGGTGCAGAGACTCTGTTCTAATGCTTAAGTCTTTAATCTACTTTTGAGTTGAGTTTTATGCAGGATGAGAGAGGTTTAATTTCATTTGCTACATATGTATTTCCAGTTTTCCCAAAACCATTTGTTGAATAGGCTATCTTTTCTCCATGAATGTAAGAAATGTCAAATTAATTATCCTGTTGAAATTGCTAATAATTTTAGAATGCCTTGAATAATTTTTGCCCTGCATTTTTCATTCCTAATTTATAATTTGCCTAAGCCTTTGAGAAAGTCTCTAAACCTGATTCTGTATGTAATTTCTTTGATTTCCTGAAAAATTTTATGTAGCATTGAAAGTGTTTTAAACTAGTGAATTTTAAAACTTTTTAACTTTTTTTTTTTTGCAGATTTTGAAAAGCTATTTTTTTAACCATGATGAAAGTGTGATGAAAAATTATAGATTTAGTCCTTCTGTGTCTGACAATGAAAACAAAAATGAAAGAGAAACTAGCCATCATGGTAAATCTTTCTGTTTAGTTGAATTTATTTTTAATGGACATCATTTCTCCTCTTTTCCTAAGGGAAAAAATCTTGCTTTTCCTTTCTTGACTACTGAAGTCAAGATAATGAAGGCAGAAACTACCTGAATTTAGATAACAGTACTTAAGCAAAGATGGTACTATTTAGTATGTTGTAACACAGAAACAAAGCCCCCTGTTACTCAAAATTTTCAGAGAAAAGAAATAGGATTTATAATTATCAAATATGGAGTAATTTTTTTCTAATTAGAAAATAAATATAGTTGTAGATATATCACAAGTTACATAAATATATACAAAGTTACATGGAATATTGCTTTTTACTTAGAATGTGTAAGTTTGTACAAATGGATATCTATGTCTAGTATTATGTATATAAGTGGATGTGTATGTGTAATAAAATCAGATCTTACTTTCAGTTGTTATAATACACCAAAATTGACTTGTAACATCTGGCTCGAAATTTCTTAGAATATTAAATTGACTAGATAATAAAATTTTAAAGGTGAGCTTTAATTTCCTAGAACTGGTAAAGAAAGATTATTAGGGATTGACATGAATTAAGGACTTATTCTTCTACCAGAAGAATAAGGGAAGGCTGATTTGCCAAAAAACTAGTAACAGCCATTACTGAGAATAATAATCATTTACTAAATTGTGTATTACTTAATATATATTATTCCTGAGACAGTTTCTGAGAATTAATATAAATTGTATGGTTATTTTATAAAATGTCATTAATGTGCTTCTGTTTTAAATTTTAACAGGATTGGGGAAAATGTTAGGGAATTCATTTGGTAAAGAAAATAGCTACAAAAAACACGTTGGAAAGTCAATGCCAACTGCGCTAGAAGATGAAGTACATGAAATAGTTGCAGATATTTCTGAAGAAGATAGCTTTTCATTACATTCTTCTAAATACAAAACAGGAATTCTACAAAGAATAAGAATGGGCAAGACCAGGAAAAAAATTTTCAGTGAAACGAGAACTGATGAATTCAATGAAGAAGCTGAAAAACAAATGAAAGAAAATAAACACTTATTTGCATCTGTAATAGAACCAAGTGGTAGTGGTCCTTTAGATTCAAATATAACAAATCAGAAGCCCATTGGTAATGAAAGTGACAAAATCTCTAACGAAGTTGTACCATCTTCAGGCTGTGAACAGTCTAAGCTAACCTTCTCAGGTCTAAATGGAACCCAGATGGAGAGAATACATCTATTGCATATTTCTTATGACCAAAATAATACAGAAAAAGACTTAAAAGACACCAGGAAAGAATGTAGCAGTTGTATTATTTCAGAAAATCCTTTGCCACATACTTCTAGTTTGCCAAATTCAAAAAAGATATTAAATGAGAAGACACTGGTAGATAGGAGAGTTGAGGGGCAACATCTCAAATCTCATGAAGACTCCTTTCTTGCAGCAACCCATGCACCATCTGAAATTTCTCCAGTAGTTTCTCCATTTCAGGGTATCAAAAAGTCTATATTCCAGACAAGAGAACCATTCTCAGATAATATGACAAATCAAAATTTTAAAGAAGACACTGAAGCCTATGAAAGTGGATTGAAAATACATGCTAGTTGCTCACAGAAGGACGATTCTTTTTGTCCGAGTTCAGTTGATAATGGAAGCTGGCCGGCCACTATCTCACATACTTCTAAACATACGGGTTTAATATCTACTTTGAAAAAGAAAACAAAAAAATTTATTTATACTATAAATGATGAAACATTTCATCAAGGAAAAGAAATACAGAAAGACCAGAAATTAGAGCTAACTTATTCTGCAGCCCAATTGGAAGCAAGTGCTTTTGAAGCACCACTTACATTTACAAATCCTGATTCAGGTACCTGTATTATTATTATTTTCCAAATAGTGCATCTGGTTTTTTGGTTTTGAGTTTTGTTTTGGTGTTGATGGACCTTTATTTTATTTACTTATTTATGTACAGGGCTGAGAATTGAACCCAGTTCCTCACACATGCTAGGCAAGCACTCTACCACTGAACCACAACCCCATTCCCTAGCACATATGGTTTTATGGATGGTGTTCTCTTGAGAACATGAACTATGTAAATCGCATTGATTTTTTTTTTTTAACTGTCTGCTTTCCTTCTGTAGTTCTTTTAGATCTCTATCTTATATGCAACCCCAGGCAGTATCTATTTACATTATTGTTAGAGGCTTTTGATTACCTATATTTAGGATCATTTCATTCAAATCTGTTTGATGAGTTTGCACAGTATATATATATACATACATGTATGTGTGTGTGTGTGTGTGTGTGTGTGTGTATAAAACCACCATCACTCCCCCCCCCCTTTTTTTTTTTGTAATAGTGTCTCACTTTGTTGCTCAGGCTGATCTCAAACTCATGGGCTCAAATAGTCCTGCCTCAGCCTCACAAGTAGCTGGGACTATAGGCATACACTGTTATAACCCACTCTATCACTCTTGAGATAGCTTTGGATACATAAACATTAAGAGCCTGTCTACTTAATTACTGCTTTAATTTTTAAAGTGTTTATTATATGCAAGTAATAATGTGGTACCACTTTACTCTGTTTTCTATAAAACATACCAAAACTAGAGAAAATCCTAATTGCTACCTAAATTTAATGTAGTCCTAAAATAATTATTTTTGTTGTTATTAGTCTTAAATATTTGGAGATTGCTTTAAATTATTGCTGTATTTCTGGGTCTCCAAAGTGTACACAGTGAAACTCTTGCTTTAGCAACAAATAGTTCACTTAACAGTAACTAAACTGTATATTAAAGAAGCAATTTTAAAGAAGGAAACAGGGCATCCACCTGTAGTCCCAGCTACTTGAAAGGTTGAGGCAATAGGAATGTTTGAGGCCAGCCTGAACAACATAGTGAGACCCTGTCTTTCCCTTTAAGAAAATGTTAATGGGGGTGATACTGAAGTACAGAAGAACCATTTGATGTTTAGGTTAAATTTCCATAGAAAAACGTTTGATGCTGTATGTGTCAGAGTTAAAGCCAATGAAGTTGTTGGTATATAGTAGTGGTCACTGATTAAATGAGGTTAAGAACTTTGACTTACTAATAGGAAATTCAAAGACTAGAGAAAACAAGTTGAACAGAACAATTCAACTCATTTATCTTTATAGTTGAGATTAGGATATCTTTCAGGGCCTTCTTATATAGACCCTGTTTTTTTAAAATGTTTTGGTTTTTTTGTTATAAAACAATTAAGGGTATGGCTTCTTTTCTAATTCCTCTGCCCTTTATATATCCTACTACACCAATATTAACAATGACTTTTTCCCCATTTTTCAATAAAAATTAATATTATTTTGAAATTTTTTTAATTTATGGTAGCTATTTCCTTGAACTAGATATTCATCTTGATTGAGTTGATACATATTATTAAAAATAATACCTAAACCCTATTTATCTTTAGCTGGAAAATGTAATGACTTCAAAATAGTACTTAGAATTTTGCTTTAAATCTGACATTCATGTTTTGCTTTTATGTAATTCTTGATTTAAATACCACCTTTTTAACTTAGTGAAAAATATTTATTGAATGTGATTATTAGTACTTTAATTTTATTTTGTCACTTTGTGGTCTTACATTTAGGTTTATTGCATTCTTCTGTCAAAAGAAACTATTTACAGAATGATGCTGAAGAACCAACTTTGTCTTTAATCAACTCTTCTGGGACAATTCTGAGGAAATGTTCCAATAATCAAGATAGTCATGTTAATACAATAGTATCTCAGGATCTTCAAGAAGGAGAAGTTCATAAAGAAAAACCGAAGTCATTTATAGCCCCAGAAACTGATTTTCTGTCATGTCTGCAGGAAAGACAGTGTGAAGATAATGCAGAAAGCCAAAAAGTTTCAGAGAAAAAAGAAAAGGTCTTGGTTGCAGCATGTCACCCTGTAGTACAGCATTTAGAAGTGGAATCTGGCGGCATTCACTTTCCATCACAGAAAGTCCTTTTAGATGATGATAATACCAATACACTTTTGTTAACTCCTAGCTCCAGGGATCCAGGCATGATTTCTAGAGGAAAAGAATCATACAAAATGTCAGAGAAACTAAAATGTAAGAATTGTGAAGGTAGTATTGAATCATCCAAAAACAGTCCCATGGAAAAATGCCAAGAAATGTGTTTTCTAAATGAAAATTCCAAAAAACCTGAACTGTTATCTAAAAAATATGTAACCGAAGTATCACCTTCAATGAACATGCAATTCAACCAAAATATAAACATAACAGTAATCCAAAAGGGCCAAGAAAAAACTCCTTTAATTTCAGAAATAACTGTCAATCCAAACTCTAAAGAACTTTTCCCAGACATTGAGAATAATTGTGTCTTTCAAATAACAAGTGAAAGGAACAATCGTGTTTTAGGAAATACAAAGGAACTTCATGAAGCAGACCTGAGTTGTGTAAGAAAAACCTTTCCTAAGAATTCCACCATGGTAGTAGATACAGACATGGCTGAAAAACAAGTAGCTCACGTGTCTGTTTCAGACAGTATTGACTCATCAGGTATAGTCCATGATCTTACCGAGGAGAACAGAAATAGGGTAAAGCAACAGCTAAAAATAATTTCAGGTCAAGATTTAAAGGCAAACACCTCCTTGTCTTTGAAATCAAATAGAAGTAAAGGCTTTATGGACAAATGGGCAGGACCCTTAGATCCAGTTTCGTATCATAATGTTGGAGGTAGCTTCAGAACAGCTTCTAATAAAGAAATAAAACTCTCTGACCATGACATTAAGAAAAGCAAAATGCTCTTCAAAGACATTGAAGAACAGTATCCTGCTAGTTTAGGGTGTATTGAAATTGTAAACACCTTATCATTTGATAATCAGAAGAAACTAAACAAACCTTGTGTATCTGATTCACAGTCAGTTAATACTGTGTCTGCATATGTGAAGAGCAGTACATTTCTTTCTGATTTTGAAAATAATCACACAACCCCTCAGGTGTTGCCTTTAAGGGGAGATTTTAATTCAAACCATACTTTAACACCTAGCCAAAAGGCAGAAATTAAAGAACTTTCTACTATATTAGAAGAATCAGGAAGTCAGTTTGAATTTACACAATTCAGAAAAACAAGCCAAATAATACAGAATAATACATTTGAAGTGCCTAGAAACCAGACTGGCCTAAAGACCTCTTCTGAGGAATGGAAAGATGATGTTCATCAGACAATTGACACCTCATCTGTTGCTCAGGTAGAAAGCAGCAAAAAATTTGAAGGTGCAGTTGGAGTTAAACAAAAGTTTGCTCATTTGTTAAAAAATAACTGTAACAAAAGTGCTTCTAATTACTTAACAGATGAAAACAAAGATTTTAGAGGCTTTTATTCTGCTCGTGGCACAAAACTGAGTATTTCTAGTGAAGCACTGCAGAAAGCTGTGAAACTGTTTAGTGACATTGAGAATATCAGTGAGGAGACTAAAGCAGAAGTAGATCCTGGAAGTTTCTCTTCAAGTAAATGTCCTGATTCTATAGTTTCCATATTTAAGATGGAAAGTCATAGCGATGATAACAATTTAAACAAGAAAAATAATGAATGCCAACTTACATTACAAAATAAGTTTGAAATGGCTACTCACATTTTGGATGAAGAAAATACTGAAAATTACATGAAAAACACAGAAAATGAAGATAACAAATGTACCAATGACAATAGAAATACTTGTAAGTTAGAAGAATCTGATCAGGGTGACTCAAGTAAAAATGATACAGTTTCTGGTCATAAAGATGAAAATGACTTGCCATGTACAGATCAGCACAATATAGATCTCAAGCTACCCAGCCAGTTTGTTAAGGAGGGAAGCACACAATTTAAAGAAAGTTTATCAGATTTAACTTGTTTAGAAGTTGTGAAAGCTGAAGAAACATGTCATGTTAATTTTTTCAATAAAGAACAGTTGACTGCAGACAAAATGGAGCAAAATATAAAAGATTGTGGTATTTTTGATATATCCTTTCAGACTGCAAGTGGGAAAAATATCAATGTCTCCAAAGAGTCATTAAATAAAGTTGTAAACTTCTTTGATCAAAAAACAGAAGAACTGAGTAACTTTTCAGATTCCTTGAATTCTAAATTACTTTCTGGCATAAATAAGAAGAAAATGGACATTTCAAGACATGGAACAATAGACATGGTTAAAAACAAAATATTGAAAGAAGGTATTCCAGTTGATATTGACAGTCAATTACTGACTCTCCAGCAACAACCTGAATATGAAATAGAAAAAAACAAAGAATCTAACCTGTTGAGTTTTCATACTGCTAGTGGAAAAAAAGTACAAATTGCAAAGGAGTCTTTGGACAAAGTAAAAAATATCTTTGATGAAAAAAAACAAGATGTCAGTAAAATCACCAGTTTTACTCAACAAGGCACAAAGACCCTAAAGGACAGAAAGGACTGTAAAGGGTTTGAATTAGCATGTGAGATGATAACTGTTCCAAAGTGTGAAGAAATGCAGGATTCTCTGATTAATAATGAGAAAAAGATTGTTTATAATGAGCCTGGGGTGTTACCCCGGCTAAGTGATGATTTATATGGACAAACTAAACATCTCGATACATTAAATATATCTCTGAAAGTTAAAATGCATGAACATATAGAAAAAGAGACTACAAACAGTCCTACAGCTTGTCGAACCAATCAGTTTTCTTATTCAGCCACTGGAGATTCAGCTTTAGCATTTTACACAGGACATGGTAAAAAAATTTCTGTGAACCAGGCTTCACTATTAGAAGCAAAACAATGGCTTAGGAAAGAAGAATTAGATGGTCAAGGAGAAAGAAATACTGCCAAGGCTGAATCTATAAAGGAATATGGGGGAAATCCTTTGTATGAAAATAGTTCAGACAGTATCATGACTGAAAAAGACAAAATTCATTTCTCTGAAAAGCAAGATTCAGCTTACTTAAGTAATAATAGCATGTCTAACAGCTATTCTGCTTTTTGTCATTCGAGTGATGTATGTGATGATTCAGGATATCTCTCAAAAAATAAAAGTAATTCTGATATTGAATTAGTCATGAAAGACAAAAAAAACACTAGTTTTAGAAAAGCGGACATATATCCACAAATTGTGAATGAAGATACTTCTGTACAGAAATTTGTGACTAACTTTTCACCTTGCAAAAGTAAAGATAGAACTACTAATATGGCCATACCTGATTTCAAAAGTTTTGAGATAGGCCCACCTGCATTCAGTACAGCCAGTGGTAAGATAGTCTGTATTTCACGTGACGCAGTAAGAAAAGTGAAAAAGATATTTACAGAAGACCACAGTAATGTAATTAAGGAAAACACTGAGAATAAGTCAGATATTTGCCAAGGAAAAATTGTGAAAGCTTATAGTGAAGCACTGGATAATTTAGAGGATGTTATTTTTCCTAACTCTATAGGTGATGAAGAATGTATGCCTTCACATAAGGTTTTTACTGATATTCAAAGTGAACAAATTGTACAACATAACCAAAAACTGTCTGGATTGGGGAAAGTTTCTGAAATATCACCTTGTGTCAATTTGGAAACTTCAGATATGTGTGAATTTAACAGAGGGGAGCTTCCCAAGTCATTCTCTTCTACAAATGCTTGTGGGATTTTTAGCACAGCTAGTGGAAAATCTGTACAAGTATCAGATACTTCGTTACAAAAGGCAAGACAGATATTTTCTGAGATAGAAGATAATGCCAACCAACTCTTTTCCAAAGTATCACTTAAAAGCAACGAAGAACATTCAAACCCGTTCACAAGAGAAAAAAGTACTATGGCACATGCCCCCCCAAACGTACTATCACCCGGGAAAAGCTTTCTGTGTAACATAAATTCGTCTTTTTCTGGGTTTAGTACAGCAAGTGGAAAAAAGGTTGCAGTTTCAGAAAGTGCCTTACACAAAGTTAAGGGAATGTTAGAGGAATTTGATCTAATGGGAACTGAACAGACCCTTCAGTATTCACCTACATCTAGGCAAGATATATCAAGAATGCTTCCTCCTCCTCGTATTGAAAAAAGAATTGTGGAACACTCTGTAAGCTCCAAAATGGAAAAGGCCTACAATAATGAATTTAATGATAATGTTGAAAATGCTTCTTCAGGAAATAATCACTGTGTTAAAGTGTCTCCATATGTCTCTCAGTTGAAGCAAGGCAGACAACACCTAGTATTAGGAACCAAATTATCACTAGTTGAGAACACTCATCTTTTAGGAAAAGAACAAACTTTATCCAAAAACATAATAGAAATTGGTCAAACTGAGACCTTTTCTAGTGTTTCTGTGAAAACAAATGTAGAAGTTTGTTCTACTTACTCCAAAGATCCAGAAAACTGTTTTGAAACAGAAGCAGTTGAGATTGCCAAAGCTTTTATGGAGGATGGTGAGCTGACAGATTCTGAACCACCAACTCATGCCAAACATTCTTTCTTTATGTGCCAAAAAAATGAGGAAATGATTTTGTTAAATTCAAGGACTGGAAAAAGAAGAGGAAATGCCCTTGTGTCAGTTGGTAAGTATTTTTGCCTTTTGTTTTGCCAAGTTCTGCCTTAAAAGGGTTCAGTTCTTAGTAGTCCTTCTGTGCTAGTGATTGGAGTATTAGACAAGTTAAGTATGCTTTCTCAGGCTTGTATGTCTAGTTTGGTGGAATGTGATTTGATTTGATATTTCTTAGTCTGTGTACCACAAAGTCATGTTTTGAGGGCCTCTCGATATGTTTTTAGAGATTTTTAATAGTTATATTTGAGAAATTACTCTTGAAAGTTTGAGTTTTTCTAGAAAAGTTGAAATTCTTGTCTTCATATCATAACAAAGCCTGTATAATACTGTTTTCATATTTTTAGCAGAGGTTCATACTCTGGCTCTTTAGTTAAAGGTTGGTTTCTAATTATACTGTATAATATGTACTATTCAGTTATACTCTTAGTTTCTCTGAGCCTTAGTTTCCATATTTATAAAATGCAAATAAGATCTCAGAGTAGTTTTAAAGAGAAAAGTATGTACCTAAAAGCTTTTATCACTGAATCTGACACATGGTAGAGAGAGAGAGCATGTAATAGGTGTTGGCTCACTTCCTTTTTTTTTGTCTAGGAAAATCTATAAACATTTACTATTAGCAAATAGAATGGTCTTAATGCTATAGTACTATGTTCTAACTTCTCTTTTAAAATGTATATCCAACAGCTTAGTTCAACTATTAGTTAATTGGAGAGGTAAGATTTTGTTGCTGTTGTTTGGAGGGTGTCTGGCTAGAAATAATCTTAAATTATTGAAACTATTGATTAGTTAAAGGAAATGCCATTCCTCACTCTATAACTCTTGAGTGGCTGATCCTAAATAACTAGCTCCTTTTAAACTATGTAGACTCATAAAATATTTGCATTATCAAAAATCTTAGCCAGATGTGGTGTTTTACCTCTAATCAGAGCTACTCGGGAGGCTGGAGGATCTTAAGTTAAGGCCAGCCTGAGCAACTTAACAAGAGCCTGTCAACAAAAAAAGAAAGTCTTGTCTAGCTCCTTCAGATAGAAAAGAAAGACACTGAAGCCAGTCAGTTCGTTTTAAATCATCCTACAGTTTTTACTTAAATCAGGTGTTACCCAGGTCATATTTTATACAGAGTTTGCTTCATGTGCAAGTAGTAAATTTATAATACTTAAATGATTTGCTGTCCTTTAGTATAAAACTCAGAAGTGCATATACTTAAAAAGTAATCATAATTTTTTTTGTGTGGAAGAATGATGACTTTATTTATAGCAACCCATAGCAGTTCCACATGTATATATAGGTTAGCCTCCTGCTGAGAAAACAACTCAGACTTCTAAATTGTCTCAAAAATGTTACTATTTAATTTCCCTTACTTCTGTTACATTTACATATAGAGCTTTTTCAGCTTCTAGTTATTTCCATAGTACAAGTTCTTGTAAAACAACTAAACCACTTTATTATGATCTAACACCTGATAAAGCCTTGAATGGACATTTTTATTCATTAAATCCTACAAATTCATTCCCTGTAATCATCAAAAAAACAAAGTGCTTCTTACCATATAATTTCAGCATGACATGGAAATGCATAACTTGAATTATGATTTCATCTTAGCCTCTGCAAGCTCTCTACAACTGAGCTATATCCTCAACCCAGAGATGTAGGTCAGTGGTAGAGCACGTGTTTAACATGTGCAAGTCTCAGAATCCAACCCCCAGCACTGCCAAAGAAAAATATAGAAGTGTCACTAATATTTTAGTGTAATTTGGTAATTTAAAAAATCTGTTCTCTCACTTATTGACTCCTAATATGTGGACCCATATAATAAATTCATCTTTGAATTTAGTGCCTACCCACTAAAAAGTTTATTTGAAGAAATTTTGTTTGTCCTTGTTGCCAGTAAACCTAGATTTACATTCAGTCCAGGTTATTAAAAAGTGACTTCTGTGGTATATGACAGTATCGTTTAAACTTAGACTCTGTTAAACAATGGAGGGTTTTTTTGGTTTGTTTTTTGTTTTTGCAGCACTGGGGGTTGAACCCAGGGGCACTGTACCACTGAGGTACATCCCAGATATTTTGATTTTTTGAGACAAGGTCTCACTACCTTTATCAAGGCTAACAAACTTGGTGGTCCTTCTGCCTTGGGGTTGCTGGGATTACAGGTGTGCACCACCCAATATACCTGGTTGAATAGCAGTATATTTCAGTGGTTAAACAGTAGTAGAAATTAGTTATCAAAAATATATTTTCTCTTTCAAAGTAGAATGGTCACTATTTAAATTACAATTATTGGGCAAGGCACAGTAGTGCATGCCTATAATCCCAGCAGCTTAGAAGGCTGAGGCAGGAGGATTGCAGTTCAAAGCCAGCCTCAGCAACTTAGCAAGGCCCTAAGGAATTCAGTGAGACCCTGTCTGCAAATAAAATACAAAAAAGGGCTAGGGATGTTGCTCAGTGATTAAGCACCTCTGGTACTTCAATCCCCGGTACCAAAAAATAAGTAAACAAACAAATAAATAAATAATAATTATTACATGTTTTATTTAACAGTGTGAAAAATGGATTATGGTTTTAAACTATGAATGATAGTCTTATAAACAGTAGAATGGATATAATTTATTTTACAAATGTGTGGAAAAATTTTTTTAGGAGAACCCCCAATCAAAAGAAGTTTGTTAAATGAATTTGACAGAATAATAGAAAATGAAGAAAAATCTTTAAAGACTTTGAAAAGCACTCCGGATGGTAACATTTGCTTTTTATTCATATCTTTTCCACCTCTATAGGTCCTATTCGTAGTATTCTAGTTATCTTTCTCAGTTCTTTTTGGTATATGTAACAGAAAAGAATTTATAGTATGGTTTAATTTTTGTATCTTATTTGTTTATTCTTATATGTTAAGCAGACTTTTCCCTCATAATACCTAGTATAATGCTGGGATTGTGGCTCAGTGGTAGAGCACTTGCCTAGCACACCTGAGGCACTAGGTTCTATCCTTAGCACCACATAAAAATAAATAAATAAAAAATAAAGGTATTGTGTCCATTGGCAACTTAAAAACAATTTTAAAAAATAATATCTAGTATAATAGGGATGTTGTGTGGAACCAGAAAGTGTGAAATGATTATATAATATTTTTAATTTAAAAAAGCCATAAAAATCAAATTTAAAGCTATAGTAGTATAATAATTTAAAGCTCAGGTTCTAGAGTCCAGTCAGGATTTTGATCACTAGCATTTCACCAGAATCAGTCTTTTCTAAGTCATACTTCCAAATCCAACAGGCATTTCTTAGTCCTGTTTACCTGCATCTTTTAGCCCACTAGCCTAGTTGATCAACTCTCAGCCCACCATAGTCTCTTGGTTCTCTCCCTACAGGGTCACTCTTTCACAGTCACCTTTATGGTTCTTACTCTAAACAGGAGAGCCCCAGGGATCCTTAGATCTCTTCTATGTCTAAACTTTAGTGACTATCAGTTTTATCTTATAGTTTAGCCTGTCCCTGAACTCCATAGTCATTTATTCACCTACTTAATACATTTCTACTTGGATTACTAAATATGCATCTCAAAGTCACTGCCAAACTCCAATTTCATCCTGGCTCCAAACTTGTTTTGTTGTCTTTCCTTTTTCTTTTTTTAATACCTTTATTTTATTATTTATTTTTATGTGGTGCTGAAGATCGAATCCAGGGCCTCACATGTGCTAGCACCCTACCGCTGAGCCACAATCCCAGCCCCTGTCTTTCCTTTTTCAATAAGGGGCTGGGCATTTTGCCATTTAATTATATAAAAACCTTGATATTATTTTTTACTGTTTTATCAATAAGTTCTGTAGGTTTTATTTTCAAAAAGACAAGAATTTGCTGAGCTCAGTGGTAAAAAACTGGTTTTTAAATTCTTTTGCTCTTTATTAGCCAGTATTCAGCAAAAAAAAGCTTTATGTTAACAAATGAGAATAAGCTATAGTTCTTCCTAGAAGACAGGATAGTTACAAATTCTCAACATAAGGATAAAGTGGCTATATTAGTCACTGTTAATGGGAGCAAATAATTTTCTTTATTGAGCAAAATCGATTTCATGGATTTTTTAATTTATAAAGTGCATATAAAGTTTAGAGGCAAAATACAACATAAACACTGTACTTCTTTACAAAAAGGAAACATTCATTCTGATGTTTAAATTATCCCAAATTTGGAAGTAGAAACTGCTTCAAACTATTTCCCAAGTTTTTTGTTTTTTTTTTTTTAAATACATGTCTTGATTAATCTTTGGGCATTTCCTGATTTTATTACCAGTATCACAAAAAGATTTCCTAGGATCTTGTAATTTCCCTTCCATGGTGCTGGAATCATCTCTTTCTTTGAAGATCCTTTCAGTAGCTTATAAAAAGAAATTTGGGTGCTAGGTATGGGTGCTGCTGGTATTATTGGTTTTTGAATATTTATACCTTGGTTCCTAATAACATTTGCCTGCTTTATTTATTTATTATTTATTCTAATCAGCTGTACATCAGCAGAATGCTCTTTGATTCATTGCACACAAATATTATTTGCATGTTTATTTGCTTTATCCTACGGCATTGGTTCTAGAACTTTTCTATTTCAGAATCTCTTTATAAGTTTAAACGTAGAGGACCTGAGAACATTTATTTGAATGGATTATATCTGTTGATATATACCATATTAGAAATTAAAGTTGAGAATTTTTAATATTTGCAATATCATGCATTGGTCAAAGGGAAGATGTTAATTCACTGAGCTTTGACACATTATATAGTACTGATGACTTTATAGTGACATCATTGATCTGATCTGGAAAGTCTAAGTATTAGAAAACTGACAAGCTTACATAACCAATACAAGCTTTTTATAATTCTAATTTTCATTTAAAAGCTTGAATTTTTCCACTGGCTACAATATTGTCATTTATTTTTCTTGATAAGCTCATTTCATTCATTTTTTTAATATTTTTTTATTGGTTGTTCAAAACATTACAAAGCTTATGATATATCATCTTTCATACATTTGACTCAATTGGGTTGTGAACTCCCATTTTTACCCCAAATACAAATTGCAGAATCACATCGGTTACACACTCACATTTTTACATAATGGCATATTAGTGACTGTTGTATTCTGCTACCTTTCCTATCCCCTACTATCCCCCCTCCCCTCCCCACCCATC